ATCTTCTCTTCAGTATCACCATCATCATCATCACCATCGACACCAGCAATGACCACCACCACCTCGGGCGCCTTCTTTCAGCTGATCAAGGTGGCCACCTGCTCTCTGTTGACGCTTCAGCTGCTGCTGTACCAGTTCATCCTCGCCTTTCGCCAGCCACCGTCGTCTTCGTCTTTGTCACCCTCATCATCACCAAGCACGATTCATCCCCAGCACCAGAACAACTATCTAACCGACCTGTGGGCGATGCTTCTCTTCATCGCCGTTATCGCCCTCAACGGCGTTGCCCTCTACGCGGCCCTGGTTCAGCAGCATCAGCAGCAGCCAACGAAAACTTCGAAGAAAGCTCTTCGTCGTTACCTCCATCTCTTCCTTCTGGCCATCTGTCCCTGCAGCGCCCTAGTGGCTCTGCTCAAGGTCTTTATCGGCGCCCCTCACCTCCGCGGTCTGACCATCATTGCGCTGGTCAGCAATCTGCTGGCCATGCCGCTGCTGTACGCGCTGGAGCGGCTGCTCAGGGCTGCTGAGAAAAAGGTGATGGTGAAGACGGTGAAAATGGAGAAAGAGATGATGATGGTGGACATGAAGCAAGAAAAAGGAGTGAGCAAAGCAGTGGTGATTGAAAAAGAGGTTGTTGAAGAAGGTGATGGTGATGAAAACGAAGGCGAAGAAGAAAATGAAGATTGTCGGCCATTTAGAAACGACGAGAAAAACTTTCTTGTAGAGAGAGCAGAACAGAAATAAAGTCTTTAGCAATGATAATGATAAATCATAAAAAGCGATCTTGTACGATGTGTAAATAAACAACCTCTGTCTGTTTGTCTGTCTTGTTTTGCACAGTTTTCCACAGCAACAAATTGAAGTGTATCTTCTAGATTCATTCTCGATGCCTTTAAAATTTGAAGTCTTCAAATGCTGACCCGCTAAAAAAGTTTTTTAAAATAAAAATCGATACATCAAACAGACTATCGAACCATCGCACCACAACATGTGACTGCGCTGCGATTGTTTTGATTTTGGTTTCTTTACTGAATTTCTATTTTTGTCTTGTACAAGTCCGCCGGTTCTTTTTATCTTGGACCCTTCATCCTCAGTTTCAAGATCATCACCACCGCCATCACCACCACCTCCATCCAGCCATGCTGAAAGCCGTCCAGTCGCCGGTCAGATCGCTGCTCGGCCGGCTACCGCAGCCTCGTCTGCCCGACCGTCTGAAGGGCGGCGTGATCGAGAGCGCCGTCAAGTACCTGCGGAACGTCGCCCACGACTACAAGAGCGTCTACCTGGAGACGAGGCAGGACATGCGCGACCGACCACTGAGGGCGACGGTGATCGGCTCGGCGCTGCTCGGCCTCGCCTACCTCGCCCACCACAACCCCACCGAGGAGGAGTTCATCGGTCAGCTGGTGACGGCGAACAATCAGCTGGCTCGTGTGCCGCCGCCCCTTCGAAATCCGGTCGCCTACGGGCACGTCTACGAGGTGGCCAAGCTGCAGGACGAACGCCTGCTGCGCCACCAGTCTCTGGGCTTCCTCTCGGTGATCTACCGCGAGGACAACTCTCCGGAGACGGCCAACTTTGCCGCTCAGTGCAAGTACCTTCGGCCGAGCTTTCGCAGCTACCTCACTGAGCGCATCGTCGACGTGGGCGTGCTGGGGCAGTACCGCATGCTGAAGCACCGCATGACGGACTACGACGTCAGTCCGGAGCTGGCGCCCTAAACTCTTGTTTAGTGTTTTGTGTATGTTATGTTTCTTTCACATTCTTCTTCTTTAGGCTGTGTTTCAAATGTTTGTAAATGTAAGTACAGATTGTTATGTTTGTTTGTTTGTGATGGATATTTTATTTTCACTCATTTTTGCTCTTACAGAAAGACGCTAGTTTGTTATGATGAAAAACCTACTCATCAATATTCACATTGTCCATGTTGACGAGGAAAAAGTTGTCCAGCTCGACGATCTTCTGCTCACTAGTTTTACCAGCCTTACTTCGCCTTCCAAAGGTGTCCACCAGTCGCACCTCCCTCAGCTGGCGGTCCGAATCGAGGAGGACGCTGCGAATCGCCGGAAACAGCTTAAAGACGGGCGTGTCGAGGCGAGTGAGCCCGGTTCGGGCGATGATGACCGTATCGAACTGGCCCAGACCTTCCGCCAGCTGGCGGCTCTTCTCCTTCAGCCCCAGCGTCGTGTAGAGCCTCTCCGTCAGTCGGATGCGGTAGTGCATCTTCACCAGCAGCTCCTCCACCAGCGACTCGCCGCTGCACAGGAGCTGATTAGGCGAGGCCTCGTTGCAGGCGCACGGCTGCAGCAGGCGGCGGACCCAGGCCGCCGGGCAGCTGGTCACAGCTGAGCTCGGCTTGGGAAGCTGAGCGAGCAGCTCAGCTCGGGCCTCGTTTACCGTTCGGTGGTGGAGGTCGTTGTTTTTGGTGGTGGTGGTTGGGTTTGCTGAAGATAACGTAGCTACCGAAACCAGAGCGAACAAGGTCAGGGGGAGAAGGAAGCTCCAGGGGATGATCATCTTTGTAGCTTTGTAGTTTGAAGAAGAGTTTTAGTATTATGTCACACACAGTCAAAGTTGGTTCTCTTTCTTCTCCAGTTTTTCTCTTTCTCTTTCTTTCTTGCACCAGTTGTACTACGGCTGAGACTTGGCAAGAGAGGAGAGACGTAAGGCGCACCACAAAGTCTGCGGTTGGTGATATAGCACTCGTTTGTACGCGTTCCTCATAAATCACCTGCTCATCAACTGACTCAAGTAGTTCTCTGTAACATAGTCGAGATTATCTGGGCGACTGTCTCAGCAGCATCACCGCAAGTAGTAGTTTGCTGGCCAAAACGGTTAGTGCAGGTAATGTGTGTGGCAGTGGGTAACTTTCCATTGAGAAAGGTCTGTCTGATTAGTGATTAGCGATCTGATGGTGATGGTGATGATGATGCTGAGAGAGCTACACAGAGTTGGCCACTGCCAACTCCTACTCCAATCAAAGCTATTAGGAAACTGTTTCGGAGATTGAGGGACAGTTTTTCCCGGGCAACCATGTGCCAAAGTTTCTATAAATTGAATTTTATAGAACTTTGGGACGAAACGAGAAACTTCGAAATGTAATAACAGAGCTGGTAAAAGTGGTGATGCGCAGTCAGCTTTAGGTCACTACTAAACTTTAGGTTCGCCACTACTACCAGACCAGATCAGGTGGTTTTCTAGTTCTCTTGAACTTCTCTTGAAATTTTCACGTCTCTTGTACAACACCTCTCTCGTACAATGACCCACCGCCGATGCACTACCTACTTTTTCCTCTTCACTGCCTTTAGCCTTCTTCTGCCCGCCACTCTTTTTACTGTGCACGCTGCCAAAGCTGAGGGTGACGTTGGTGATGGTGGTGGTTACGGTGGTGATCATCTTCCTCGTTCTCCAAGTGGGTCAATCGACGAGGAGGATGAGGTGGAGGAGGCTGGAGCCAATCCCAGCGGCCAGAAGTCCAAGTCGATCAAGGCGACGTTTCAGCAGGTAATGCGCCGCCTCTTTGGCCCCTCCAGTTACCTGGAGAAGAAGGGCGCCCTGGAGGGCATCATCGCCAACTTGAACACCGGACCGGAGGAGAAGGCGAAGGCGCAGAAGTTCCTGGACGACCTCACCGAGTTGAAGGAGGCGGAGAGCCTGCCCCGAAGTGACCCGGACCGGGCCCGCCGCCTGAAGGAGGCGAAGGCGAATGCGAAGAAGAGTAGAGTTGAACTGTAAGAGAGAACTGCGGAGATGATTTACTTCTGTTTCCTAAACCTCT